GGGGATGTGGGTGTGGGTGTGGGTGTGGGTGTGGGGTGTGGGTGTGGGTGTGGGTGTGGGTGTGGGTGGGTGTGGGTGTTGGAAGACTAACACCCACACCCACACCCGACACCCACACCACACCCACACCCCTGAATAATATAATCATTATCTGATAATATTATTATTGAACTTATTACAGAATTCAATGAACGTACTAAACGAATTCTCAATGATTAAGATATTAAGTGTTACTTTTATTGTGTTCATTACAATTATTAATTGGACATATTCATTTTTTTCGATCATTTAATCAATAGAATGATTTTAGAAAATTTAACATTAACACTAAAATTATATTCTCAAATACTTCCATATAGAGGTTTTCGTATTTTAATTAATGTTTATTATTAATCTGAAGTTAATAAATGAGACTTTATTATCAATGAGAATTATTCTAGAAAAAAAAATCAATAAGTATAGTTATATGGAAGGATTAACTGGTATTATGAATTGATGATACATTCTAACGATTTACTTAAATTATTCTTCGTTAATCTTTAAAGGAAAGGAAACAAATTTCCATTGAAATTTAATATTAATGATATTGTAGTCAATTAATATTGCACAAGTTGAAGACGTATTTCCAAGGGGGAAACGGCGGACTTGAAGTAGAAAAGTACGCCAAAGTACGTCAAAGTAGACTACTTGAAGTAGCTCAAAGTACTACCCAAGTAGTCCAAAGTAGGAACAAGTAGCTTAAAGTAACTTCAGGTAAATTTGAAGTTGAAAAGTACTTCAAAGTAAGATACTTCAAGTAGCTAAAAGTAACTTGAAGTAGCTCAAAGTAACTTCAAGTCCAAAAGTCCGCCGTTTCTCCCTTGCGTATTTCGCTTGTTGAATAAGCTATTCTTTTTTTCATCTATGTTTTAAAACTATTCTTTGTTGTTTTATTTTGAAAATTATCAATATTCTCACATACAATTTAAATTTATTTTGAAAACGATAAATAGTAAAACACTAATGAAACAAAATGTCTTTCTCGCCCATTTCGAAAGAATGACGATCAATACAAAATGAAATATAAAAATAAATTCTGATAAATATTAATTATTATAT